CTTCGCGGAAATTGTGGTAGTGAATTCTGGAGGGTGCAAGTAGGAGATCTCTTACCTCCAAGCCATAACAGCCATTGCGTGCCTTCAGTAGGAGCTAGAGGACTTACGCCTGATGATGTAAAAGCAATGCTGCCCGCACTTGCAGTTCTGCCTCACATTTCCAGGGATCTGTAGTTTTGTTCAGCTTGTTACGTGGGCTACTAGCCACCCATGACCATTGCAAAAGTTCAATCCCCGAGCTCAGGGAGCAGCCTTCCTTCCCACATATGCGTTTCATTCACAAGGAAGGAAGAAAGGGAAGGACTTTCATGACCACAACTTGCACGGGCCTCCATCCCACCAACCCCTTGCGAGCTACAGCCACGCAAAGTGGAAATCCAAGATGCTGCTTCCAGCCAACAAGGATCTGACAAGGCACCCGCTGCATTTCACAGTTGCTTCTTGATGCTACTTGCTGCATTGTACCCAAAAGGAGGAAAACAAGCCGCTCACAAACATGACTGACCCATGGAGAGTGCACCTGGGACAATTCTTCTCTCACCTGCTATACGGACTTGCAGTTGACCGCTTGCATGTCCTGATGTGTGTTGCACATGTGAAGTACTAGCCTATGCTCGGTTCACACTTGGTTAGCTGGTATGGGAGGGGATAAGAGAATGACTCATTCTACTTGCACCCTCCATAAGTCATCAAACAATTTCTAAGCAGATCTCCCAAAAAAACTCAACTCATCTTCGAAAAGCAAAGAAGCAATGGAACAAAGATGCCCTGCGCGACATGAAAACATTTGTTTGACGAACAACACACATTTCACTCCATTTCTGGCGCGTGCTAAACTCTCCGTGTTAACCAATACCAAGCTAGCAGCCTGATGCATCTGCTGCGTATTGGCCTAACCTGTGACAGATGTAGTTGTATGTCAATGCCACTTCCGCAAGCATGTTCTATCCTGCTCTACCCTATTAAACTACCATAGAGATGCACAAGGCAGGCCAATAGAATACTACGCGCAAGTTTGCCCGCAAGCAAGATGCATAGAATTTGCTTTTCTGCAACCATAGCCCCAGTGCAACCAAATTCATTGTTGCCACATGCGCTGGCTCATGAAAGGTGAAAGCAAAGCAGCAATCAAAGTGGGAGCGAGTTGCAGAGAATACTGTAGCTAACAATGCTTTTAGCAACCTCTTCCAATCTTGCATCATCCGTAGCACCAAAGGCTTGTCATCACAGCGCTACTCGTGCAAACGCTCAAGAAGCAAACACTAACTAAGCGCACGAGCTGTTAAGAAGCACATCTCAATTTCCAATAGAGTGAACTAGTGTAGAAGTCCTGGTCTAAGCGGAAGTTGTGTAAGCAACAGGACATCCTAGAACTTTGCGAATAGGAGCCAAGGACAGGAAAGGGGAACAGAAGTTAAAGGTGACCCAAATCCTGAACAATCTACTGGGTCCCAGTGATCCTGGGGGGGCGGGAAAAAACAAAATGAGAAATATAATTCTGTATTTTTTGTTTCCCTCCCCCCCCCAGCTCTCCTTCTACATGTGGACTCTAGGAAATGTAATGCATAATTTACTCTTGTTACTGAAACCCACAATGCCCCAAGTACCACAGGACAACAGCGCCGAAACGGAACTTCCGTGTGCTTCCTCCATTCCAACTGCTCCCCCGTGCCAACAGCCCTGCCTCCCGCAGAGAAGGAAGGCCAGGGGACTGGGCGTAAAGCGAGGGCCAATCACAAGAGCCAATGGAAAAGGCTCCTCCTTATAAACGAGTTTTTCCTTTTTGAACATCTTTGCGAGGCCACAAACAAAAATCACTCTTCACGCTCCTTTTGCCCCGTGCAGGCTCAAAATACTAGGGTTTGATTTGTCCCACCTGCCTCGAGAGACTCGACTGGAAGGCCGGAAAGCTTTTCAATAGTTGCACCGTGTTGCTCTGAGCATTCTGGGCCTGTTGTCAGAATAGCGCGCACGCCGCCGCCCGGACACGCAGCGAGAACGCCGATCTCAGGCGCACAGCTCTGGAAAGGCAGAGACTCGCATCAACTTCTGACGGGTTTCCCGAGACTTGGAACCTTTTAGCGACCTTTTAGCGATTCGCTCCAATACGGCGAATCCCCCCTAATTAGCGTATTTGGAGGGGGGCGCGCTCCGTGCATACATATATATATATATATTTACTTGGCGGGCAAATGGAAAGGGTGGGCAGTTGCTTCTGTTCCTGCAACTTCCAGAAGCTGTCCAGCCCTGCGGTGAAAATATTCGGTTTTTGTTCCTGGCGGTGGCCAATATTCTAAGGACACTATGTCGAGATATGGACATTCGGCATTGCCAGGACAACAAAACTGAAAACACGACGTTCGGCTGCCACGTGCTGCAAAACGAACACGAGATCTGGGATGCACCCGCTCCGCTTGATGGCCAAAACTGTGGTTCGGTCATGCATCTCTAGCGCGCACGGTCGCAAAAACAACAAGGAGGAGACACATGCGGGGGGGGGGGGGGGCGGGAACGAAATCAGCAGCCTCGGTTTCGACGCACCTAAGCACCTAAGCTGGGCAAATACATACTCCGCCGACCAGCAGTTTGATGACCAGCTTAGGACCAAGTCGTAAGAGAAGCATACGACGACTGGCAGGATCAACCAGGCCCATTCATCCTACAATCATTGCCCGTCCTTCGTCCAACAGCAATTCACGCAGTCTGAGTTTTGCCAAGACAACAAGGCGCAAGGATGCCTTGCTTCTGCTCCAGAAGCAAGGCATCCTTGCTGCCAGAAACAACAGGGGAAAAACCTGACTTCTGAAAAGTTGGAATCATCCCATTGAGCCACATCTGAAACGCATGAAAAGGAAGGCACGACCACTTGGTCTTGGAGGTTGGTTTGAAGGAAAAAGGTCAACAAACTTCATTTTTTGCCCCCCACTATTTTGTTGTTGACAACATACCCATTTAGCTCAAATTCAAACACCAGGATTCCTTATCCCACTCAAGGGAAGCTCACTTGCAGCCTTCACAGGCTGAGAAGTCAAACCACTCTAAGAGGGGCCTCACTGACCTAGAAAGCCCTGTCTGAGTTTCCAACCTCCCCGACCCAAGCGTGTTTCGCGAGACACGAAACACGCAAAACGCGCCTGCCGACCGCCAGCAGCACCTGAGGCCAATGGAGTGAGTCGAGAGGCCAATGGAGTGAACAAGGTTGGCCTTTTCAAGAGGATGGTCGGCCAACACCTCCCTGTCCATTTCTGCGATTGTTGAAAAGAGGGCGTCAAAATGTGGGGCAATAGCGGCAATCACCTTGGGTGGGAGGGAAGATGCCTCGTTGTCCGCCTTGGGGTGCAGCTAGGAATCCGCCAAAACGCAAATGGGCATTTACGTGTTGCCGGTAGGCTATCCGTATGGTTTCCATCAAACCGAGTTTGAGGCAATGTCTCCGGCAAAGCACGAGAGGGCTCTGCGGGAGGGGGTCACCTCCGTCCGAAACGATAAGCATGGGATGTTGCCCACATGTGTCTCAGGGGAGAAGCCCAACACCTTTCAGATGGGCAAACCGGTTTTCCTGGTTCAAACAGGCAACACGGGCAAACAAAAACACACACCGAGCTCGTGAAGTGAGTGCACAACTTACACATGAGGCACACAGCCTACTATCCTCATACGCGTTCTGCCGTCTCTGCGCTGCTTTCCCCCCAGCTGCATCCTTTTCCTATGTCGAAGATCCGCCTCGAGGCCACTTTGGCGTGGGGCCGAATTCGAAGCATCAAGCTGAAAGCATGAGTTTATCTGGAGCACAGACACCCAGACTATATGTGTAGCTGGGCGAGTGCATTGCGCCAAAAAGCCCAAAAGCAATGGCAATCCAGCTGCAAGAAGGCAACGCATCACCTCACCCTCCGCGCCACGCACCGCCACTCTACCCCTGCCGGAAAAATGGGCGGCTGAGCTGGGATTGCCCATCCTCCAGCCTGCAGCTTCGGTGCAAAGAACCCAGTCAGGTGGATGGACAGTTTAGGGCAAGTCGCGTCAGAAGTCAGAAGCCAGCATGGGCGTTTCTCTCTGGTGCTCCTTTCAAACAACCCAAATAAGGGCACCAACTCCAAAACAGACACGCCAATACCCGTTGCAGTCAAATCTGAGCACGTCTTGACGCGGGGACTCCCTTTACGACACGCTGCTGAAAGAAACCAAGCCATCTGTTATGCCTGTTGCGTGGTGCCAGGGCCACGGATTTCTTGTAGCTTGTCCTAATTTCCCTTTTCAGTGCTGATGACTCTCCCCACGAAGTGACAGAGTGTTTTGACCATGGCCTTGCCAAGAGGAAACCCTCCAACCACATTGGCAACCAGAAGGTGACGTGTAAACCTCCTGCGTTACTTGGCAACCAGGTGATGTTTCAAGCGCAAAATCTAGGGTTTCCGGCTGGTTTCCCCATATTCATATGGCCATGAATCTTGATAGGGTGTCCGCCAAATTTTGATGTCCACCAAAGGGTCCCCTAATGTCCCCTATTACTCATTCCTGGGATGATGGCTCAAAAGCAGTCCGAACCTTTTGTTCGCCACTAAAAAATGGTCCAGCCCCAAAAAGGCTTAAAGTGCAAGAACTCAAGTGAGAAATAGACGAGCCACCCAAATCCGCCGACCCTGTGCCCGTCCCAGCCTCCTGCTGGGGACCGGCGTGGGATGCAACTGGAATGACGTGAACGGAATCCTCATGGTTTGCTGCCTCCGAGGGACAGATAAAACATGGATTCCCTGTCTCAGGGCCATAGGACCAGAAACCAGTCCCGGAACGGACTGGTCCTGGGACCTGTGCTGGGCCAGTCCTGGGATTGGGTGCCCACAGCCCCAAACCAGTCCTGGGACCAGTCCCAGACAGGTCCCACAACCGGTCCCAGGACCCCACTGGTCCCCAAGCAACCCCAACACACCCCCAACAAGTAACCCCAGCAGGATGAACATTTCGTAACCCCAACACGTCGCCACCAAATGTCTCCCGCCTCAAAAGCCCGCCGTCAGCTCCGCCAGGCGCTCCGCCACGGGGTCGCAGCCGCTGGGGTCCTGGAAGAGGTACCAGTCACAGTCCACAGCCTGCGACGCGACGCGTCGTGTTCGCCGTGTGAAGACATGGGAGTTGATCAAAAGGTCCGGTAGCACCGGGTGATTGACGTTCACCGCTAACTGGGACAAGGGTCCCGTGGTCATTTTGGGGCCAGGAATATTGAGAAGCCAACCCAAAGAACGCCAACATTTCCCCCATTCGCTTAGGCGCAGCGTATCCAAGGGAATCACCCTACAACTAAAAGCAAAATGGCTGGTGCCCTACTGTGGATGGACAAAATCCGCTTCGCACCTCGGTTTGTAGCTGGTGAATATCAACCAGTATTCATGGGGAAACATCCATCCCAGCCGGTGCAGGACTTCCTGAAAGAATCCCTTTAAGCACTTTCAATGTGGGATTTGTCCCAAACGGCGGTGGAAAACGACCCGTTTCCCTGTACCAAAATGATTGATTCCCATGGAGCCATGACTAGGTTATCACTTTGCAGGGCTCCCTTTCACAGAAAGCGGCGCCGTGCCACCCAACTTTCCGCCACAAAAGGCGGAAAGGATCACCGGGCAGCCGGCCGGCTGGGAGCGATGCTTTGACAAGATGCGGGATGTGACGCTCTTGCGAAGATACTGCAGTGTCTTTGGATTCTTTAGTGGGTAGAAAAAAATGGTTACTCTTCTTTTAGATAATATAGAACCCCAAAAGACAATCATTGTCAGCGCAATCTCCTTTTCGGAAACTCCTTTTTGGCTGAAGGTTTAACTTGCAGGGAGTACGCAATTGTGTTTTCCCATCATGTGCGAATGTTTATTTTTCTCAGAGATCCTTTGGCTAGAGCGAGCCAACGAAAGAAAGAGAGAGAGAGAGAGAGAGAGAGAGAGAGAGAGAGAGAGGCAGGAAGGGAGGGAGGGAGAGACAGAGAGGGACCCTTTGCTGTCATTCACGTCCACCAATCACCTTTGAGGTTCTGAAAAGTCATGGCCATACTGATCCCTCTCTCGCGCCTGAACCTTGGAGAGCTTCTGGCACGCGGAGATCTTCAGCCACCCCTCCGCGTCCTGAAGCAAGTTTCCACAAAGAAGCGGTTGTCGGGGCTTCTGCTTGGCTCACTGAAATACACAGAGAACTTTCTTACAACTAGGTCCTCCAGTAGAGAGGCTCGTACCCGATTCTTTTTCTGTAGTCGATTTTCGTAGGGGGAAAGCCTCCCCCCAAAAAAGGGAGGGCACTACTGGGGGACCTAGACAATGTTCGGAGTCTGTGCCATATTTCGTCCCTGCCTTGACTTATATATGCAGTCTACTCTGAGGAGACCCCCAGTATTGTCCAGGGCAGTGCGCAAGTGGAGGAACCCCCGAGTGATTCAGAGATCCGGGCATGTGCGTCAAATTGCCCCCCTTTTTAAAATGTGGTCTTGCCTTTGGTTTCCCTTCAACCAGCTATAAGTTTGTAATCTCACCGTTGGTCTATGTCCACCTTCCTGTCTACGTAGCTTTTCTGTACCCCTTCCATTTAAAACAATATGGATTACGTACCCAACATAAAACCTGATGCGTCCCCAAGGGGACTTTTCTTGAGACCTTCTGATGGGTTTGGCATGGAGGCTTGATTCATGGAGCTAAACAAGGTCCTCGCAACATGCTGGTTTGCGGGGGTCCGCGTTACTCTAGAGAAGCATTTGTTGGAGCCTGCTCAAGCGGTCCAGGGTGTACCCACAAAGTGTTTAAGGAAATGCTGAAATGCCGTGGAAGCCACAAAAGGTCGTTCAAGCCGCCTTCTGTCGGTGCGTAAACCAGAACGGGAATGTGGTAACTAACCCACTAATGACCAACCACTCCTTACAAGACTTCAAGAAGTCATTCCCATACTTTCCCTGCTGAAAACGAGCAGGTTGTTGAAACACATTCGCCCATTGCCAGTCGTGCCACCGCACAATTAACATACCCACCAGTCATGGCTATTTCCCTTCAAAAACAATCAGGAAGAGTTTAACACGAGGGAAATGCAACACCAGAACTCACCTCATCTAAGCGAGTTCCATTTTGCAAGTGCAACCCGTCCTCCGGCTTGATTAGCGTCTTCATCTTGTCGTGGCCCTCCTACACGAGCGAGCGCTCGCTCCGGGATCCCAACCCCTCCCCCCCCAGCAGCACTCAGTGTGTCCTAGTAGCCCCGCAAAAGCCTAACAGTTTTGAGCTAAGTCGGATCGCCTGAGCAGCTAGGGGCGCTTCGGATCCACCAAAAGCCAGTGCCTGAACCTATCTATGCATGCGTTGACTTAGCCAAGTGGATGCCCCTAGAATTCTCCCCCTGAGCTATCCGTTGCAAACCATGCACCACTCACTTGGCGACTCCATCCATCGCCCTTTGCCAAATACAGAGCGATGGAAGGGTTGTGACGCTTGATGGTCTTTAATGGGCCCTACTAGCCACTATTGCCTTGGCCCAACCCCCAATCTATCCCGCGCAACGCTATGTCGGTGGGCCAAAACGAAAAACACACAACTTGGGGGTCCCCTCAAGGCGGAGGGGTGACCCCACCCCGTTTCCAAGCGGTCGATGCGCTCGAATCCTTCGTGCCAAAGAAGACGTGCACCGGGCACTTCAGCGGCCCCAGTGAGGGGTCAAAGCGGTAGTTCTCCTCTAGCTTGCCTCGATGCTAGCTGGAAAGTGATGTTCCACAGAAAATGGGCCGAAGAACGTACCGCGCCTTTCCATAGGTGACCTTTTGGAGTACCAGGGCCATCTCTGTCCAACCAAACTAACCAAAAAAAAGACTCCTACTGTGGATGGCTGCGAAATCCTGCAACACCTAAGAAGCCATGGAATGATGATTCCCCTGTAAATACCAACAAACAATGGTGCCCCATGGTTTCAGAGTGGTGCAGGAATACGTCCATCCACAGTATGTGCCGTTCTTTGATTCCCAACAGGAACTCACTCTCTTTTCTCTTTGGGGGGGGGGTCCTCCATTCATTTGGAACAACCCCGCAGTCACTGAATGGTGTGAAGGTTTTACGATGGGGAGTTCAAATTTACTTGTGGACAGGACTGGTCGTATTAAATAGGTTGTCAAAAAGACTTCTGTGTTTTGAACCACAGGTGAGCGGGTGTCATGGTTTATGAACTTTGCACTATGCACCAATGTGTATGTTTGAATGATATATATATATATGGGTCCCCACGGCCCCGGGTCCCTCATTTCTCGTTTTGGGACCCCTCCAAACTCTCCTGTCAACAGCCACCCTCTGCCCGTCAACCATCTCTACCCTAAAAGTCATACACCATCCCCAATCCAGCTTGACTTGAACCGCAGGACAACCTTAAGCTAGTAATTGACATGAAGCCTAAGATAATTAACTCAAAAAAGAACCTACATGCTCAACCCAGCAAAGCCCCAAAGGATCCCTAAACTTATTGTAAATCAGCCCCCGGCTATCCTAAGAAAAACTAATAATCAGCTTAAATAACCCTAAGCAATGTCCAAAAATCCTGAGCTATAAGCCCGAAACTCAAAGGTAAGCTTGAGATACCCCAAAGGATCCTTAAATCCAAACTGAATCATCCCAAACCCACAGCACTCAACCCTCAACGAAGCCTGACTTGCCCTCCAAACCAACACCCCACACCACAGAGGGGGAGGGGGGGAACCATAACAACAGGGGGGGAGGGGGAACCAAAACCACAAGGAGGCGGGGGCACCACACCCACAGGGGGGGTGGGGGGTACCATGACCATTGGGTTGGGGGGGGGGGGGGGCCACTAGCCCTGACCCATATATATATATATATATGCATATATATATATATATACATATATGCATATATAAATATATGCATGTGTGCGTGTGTGTACCTTGACCAACAATGTGTTGCCCCACTTGCCGGGCACGAATAGGTGAAGCGTCAACCTGCTTTGCCCTCTGAGCGCTCTTTGACATCGGCCCTTTGCTCACCATTGGCAAGAGTAAACGCTCGAGACCAGATATCCGCTGCCGTTCGGAGAAACGCTGGCAAACTCGGACCTGCGTCGTATCCATGCATGGCCAGGGCATACACAAAGAGCCAATCCTTCAGATAACAACAAGAAATTGGCTTCAAGTCAGCCAATCTGAATGACATTGCAGCTTCCAGTTGGCATGAAGATAGATTCTACTCCGTTGAAGGCCACGTGGTTGATAAAGAATAATCTCATGCACATGCATGCGCGATCATTCACAAACAATCTACCCAAGCACACGTGTGAAACAGCAAGATGCTTCGAGGGAAGAGCAACGCGTGGGAACACAATAGTACACAATAACATGTGCAACCCACTAGACTACATGCTTTTCAGTTAGGCACTTTGAACTGATGGTAGGCAATGTCTGTGGGCCTTGTAAACAATCGCTTTCTGCGGTCATCCTGGAAACCTGCAAGGTCCCAATCAAAGTATCAAAGCGATCCAGCAAAACATCGAGCAAAGGAAGCCTTTCGCAGGCAAGATGAAGCATGCATTGTTTACTTTCCACATATCTTATATTCCCAGGTGTTGAATCACCCAGCCATCATCCAGCTATTTAACCCAGGCGCAGTCGGCATTGATTACCGGCACAAACATCTTCCTGGGAGGCGTGATCTCTGCGAAGCGACGATGCCAACAAGATTGGGGAAAATAGGATTCAACAATCTGCCCCTGGTCTCCTTAAATGGAGGTTGTTTAAAAAATTCTGGTTTAAACATGTTTAGAAACAAAGAGTGGCCCAACCCTGAAGCTGTGGTCTGCGCGAGGGATGAATCAAGACAGAACACAGGCTGCCGGTTGAAGCCCAATAAGCTCGACCTTGGTTCGCTACGAAGGCTAGGGCTGGCTTCTATTGAGCCCGCTTTCTTTCTGCACCAGGTAGTTGGAATCACGAGAAGCAAGCAGGCCGATCAACCACCTGCTCTTTCAAACCAGGAGTATGAAGTTGAGCTGCTCACCAGCCGATTGCACCAAGGAGAATGGCCAAAGGGGCGGCTGTGCCACGACACAACCGCCCGACCCTTCCACCGACTATCTTCTTGGCAGGGAACCAAAGATTCCTTTTGCATGACCAAGGGAAACTCCCACGCGCCCAAGTTTGTCAACCGGCGGCTCTGCATGGCATGGGCGAGTTCATTCGCGGCTCGTCACCCTACCTCGTCATACCTCTGCCTCCCGAAGAGATGGCTGGCCGGGCATGCTTGCTGGTCGGACCAGTTCATCGTGCCAAGAAACCAGGGGATAAGAGGTGCAACATACCAGTTCACATAGGCGCATGGAAGGCCTGCGCACTTGGTTCCAAGATGCTTTGCAACAAATGTTTATCGGAAACTGTCAACATGTTTCATCATCGTTTCAGCCACAAAATCTGGTCCTTGGCCTTTTGCTCACTTCTTTGACCGGCCGCCCTCCCCGCAGCCCACATCCAAGCTACTTCATGCCTGGGTCTTTGAGGATGAAATCCGTGCCGCCCTTGTCATGCAGCATCTGCTCGAACCTGCTTGCTTGGGGAACAAAAAGCTCCTCCTATATGAGTGTCTCTTTTTTGAGGGTACCCCTGTTTTGTGGTTGTAAAGAGAAGCCAAAAGGAAAACTACGATTTTGGGGGTCCCTCAAAAAAAAACACTCGGATCTTCATCATCACAACCTGTCCCATCCATGCCTTGGTAGCGGACCCGCAAGACCCAGCGGACAACCTACAGGGCATTCCCTGAAGGGCAGGGGAAAATACATGATTCTCCTGGTCTTTTTAGCACACTTCGTGGCTCAAAATCCACGTATGCACCTGGAGCTCTTTCTCCGACATTCCGGGGGGGCTACGGGATGAGCCCTATCCTCCAGGGCAATGTTGTCCCTTTCAGCACCACCACCAGAGGCAAGTGACCCTCTTGTCCGTCCTTCTTTCTTGGATCTTCAGACAAAGTAAGTGACCAAGGTTACGAGTGGGATAACAAAGGCGGTTCCCGCACAACCTACTTGCCTCTTGTAGGAAACAAAGGGTCGCCACACTATGAACTAGGATCGGGTGGGGCTGTAGGGAGCAAAACCCAATTCCCTCACAATGGGAGAGTCATGTTCGTAATTCTTTGGGGCCTTTATATTGCCTGCGTTCCAACAACGGATGCCTTTCAAGACTCTTTTCGTCTTTCCCAAACCCTTGTTTTGCTCGCATCTGTCAAATTCATCCAGTCACTCTCCTGGCGGTGCCACACTGTGGCTGGTTGCGTCAATCCTGCACCGTGCGTTCAGAAACCTATCAAATAACAACAAACCGTGTGGTTTCATTCCCATGGTTTCATTCCATGGCGCGGTTTCGGATTTCGCAACCATCCAACGTACTAAAAGGGTTCTCTCACAATGAACTCAGTACAACCACTTACCTAACCCTAATATAAGCCCCAGTTGATTCATCTGGGGGTGTCTTTGGGAGAAATGTGTTTGGATTCAGCGCTGTCGGAGCGGAACACCAACCCAACCCGCGCGCACCGCTGGCCTCTCGGGGCTGAGCTGCGCCAGGCCCAGGTTGGCGCGGCCCGGCCACTGGGGCGCCTCAGCGCTGCAGAGCACCGCGGCGGCCACCGGCCACGGAAGGCGCCTCGTTCGGCGTCGGCCGGGGGCGGCGGTTGGCCCGTTCGGGAGGTGGCATCTTGGCGAAAAATCGCAAACGATTCGGGTTTCACTGGTAAATGGATGGCATACAGCCAATTCCTAAAGCAGTGGAAGCCATCGATTTTTAACCAAACGAAGTGATCATAAGGGTACCTGTTGCACAAGGGCCGCCAAATACGATTTCAGAACGTATTTCGAGCTCACGGTTTCTGCTGTTGGCCTCCAAAAGGAAAAACACAAATCAGCTTGGGGGTAGTTGCTGGAGGTTGCCCCTGTTTTGACACACGACTCCAATGGTTAGTATCCCGGTGAGTAACAGTCAGTCAGCATACTAAGTCCAATAGGTATACATTCGGAGATTTTTCAGGAAATGGGTGAGGGCCCAGGTGCCAATGATTATTACTCACAAAAACAAAATGGTGAGCAACCCTTGTTCATGAGGGTTGACTGGGAGGTTGCTAACCTCTTGGCCAACTCCTGGGCTTGAAAAGGGTGTGGTAAATGATGCTTGGCAAAGTGATGGTAAGATTTGACGGTGACCACAACCTCCGGGAACAGTTGCCATTCACCCAGTTCATTGGGGGCCCGGTGCCACCCATTCGTTCTCCAACCCCACGCCCCTGTTTTCCTTGTTGTCTCCGAAGCTGACCCCAGATTGACAAGCCCCTCTTTGTTGATATGGGGGTGAACCCCCTCCAAAAGTGATGAATCCCCGCTCAAGCCAGTGACAGCCCCATACAGACACTGTGGTTGCTCCCCGAAGAGAGTAGGATAGCTGCTCATGTTCTGTCATGCTTTCTCTCAAGTCTGCCTTCTTTGGCAAAAAAGAACAGATGGAATTCGGCAGGTACGTGAAGAAGGCGTCCATTAAAGCGGCACACGCAAAGGGGCGTCTTCATCGGGCAGCCAATTCCCACACCGACGCCAGGGGCGACGTTCACATCCAAACCCCCGCCTGGCCACCTCCGTGGCCAGAACGGCGCCGAAGGAGAAGCCCAGAAACACCACCGGCTTCCCGTCCTTCAGCGCCTCCTGCCGCTCTAGGGGTGGATTCCTTGTCCATCGTTCTTTTCAAAAACCAGCCATTTCCTCAGGGTTTTTGGTGGATTCCTGAAAAGAAGGATCCCTGGAAAGAATGGGGAAGGTACCACTAAATTCTTGGTGGTTTTGAGTGTTTTGGGGTGGTGCTTCTTGGTGTTGCAACCGGAAGAATGTCTGTTTCTGTCCCCAACCATGTCTTGCGGATTTCGCCGGATGTCCCCTTCAAAAGTTTCGCAATTCACCAGTGGTTTCGGCCCGTCCACCAAGGCCATGGGAGTTCTTCGGGGTACCCCTCACGGTACCCTTTTGCATGCTTCTAGGGGAAACCAAAAGGAAAACCGAAGCCATTTTGGGGGCTCCCCTGCAAAAGACACACCCACATAGGCACACATGTTCGATCCTGGACCAACTGAATATGAACAAGACCTTAGTGGTTCGTCGATCCTTGCTAAAAGCTTTGATTTCGGTGGGATATGCAGTACCTCCCGCGCAACTCTGAATCTGACCATTCACCCACTAACATCGAGAAGATGCAAGGAGACCAATGGTTGTATGTTTGATGGGTTGGTAGGGAAGATGTCCTCCAACAAGAACTCACGGCTGATTCCAGGGTGCCGGTACCAATACCGACGATTTCCAGGGAGCCCCTCCCCACCCATATATATATATAATATATATATATATAGGGCCGCAGTAGGTTAGTTTGCACCTATCATTTGCCCCAGTTTGGGATTTGCCCCTTCCAACAATCTGGCGGCGAAACCTCTACCAAGCCCGACGCGAGTTCGGTCGTGCAACACCTTCCTTCAGGGCTGTCCCTGGCTTTGCACTGGACCCTGATCAAAAGGTGGGTCAACATAGCTCCCAGGACATCCCCCAGCTACGAAACCCCATTTGAGCTTCCTGGGATCTCATTGGTTCAACGGTTTCCCGCCCACCGCCCCGCGGCCATTTGCACGAAGGCTTCTCTCCCCGTCCTGCAGCGCCGCAGTCATGTCCTTGACGTAGGCATTGCAGTCCTGACCAGGTCTTTAGCCCTCGACGCGGAGTCTTAGGCGAGGGGAGCTGGTCGCAAGTGGTCAAGTTGTCAAACTGGAAACTATGCTGCACTCCACTCTCTTTCTCTCCCCCTTCTCTGAAGAGAAATAATGCCAAAAGGATACACCCCTTGTAGATTCACACACTCTCAAATCACCCATAGAGGCATCTCCTTGCCGGTCCAGGAAACAGCCAAGCTCTCTGCATTGAGCCCATTCCTGCAACTTCAGAGCCAAAGGACTTACAGTCCGTGTTATAGAATGATTGTTGAATCATAAGTTCAAGAGTATTCTCCGAGGTCCAAAAGCCTTCTAAGGGTAGCACCCAAGAAGCTCAGAAGCAGCTTCCCACATGAAATGGTAACACGACCCTGAGGATTGATTTGGGTATGTCGGGCATTTGGTACCCGTTTTGGTTCTTGAGAAAAGCCATGCCTGGGGTTCCCGTGATACCTTTTCGGAGACTCACGGACGAAATCCGCTTTGCAGCAGCTGATGAAATCTCATGAACTCTGGCTAACCCACCTGCGCGGATTTTGTACATGCTGTGGATGGACAACATCCACTTCGCGCCACCTAAGAAACCCTTTCTAATTCGATTCCCCTGTAATACTGTGGATGGACGAAATCCCGCACCACTTTGAAACGGAAATCATCATTCCAGGGTTGCTTAGGTGTTGCGAAATGGATTTCGCAACCATCCACAGTACCGACAAACGACGGGTTTCAACATGCCTCAACCATGGGTTGAAAGTGGCATAAAATCCCACCAGCCCAGCGGTCAAAACGCTTGGAAGACCGCCCAACAGGCCCCAACCTCGTAGAGGGGGTCTTTCAGCCGCGTGCCGCGGCCAGGATAAGCCACCTAACTCGGCTGGGCTCGCGGACTTCAGGCGTGTTTTTTGGGGAAACCAAAGGGGACCCACAATTTTGGGGGTGCCCCTACTTTGGATGGGTGCGAAATCGATTTGGCACCATCTGAGAAACCCTGGAATGATGATTCCCCTTCACAAAGTAACAAACAAGGGTTTTTTCGTGGTTTCAAAGCGGTGCAGGAGTTCGCTCATCCACAGTATTTTAACACATGCCCATGTCCCTCAAATCTCTCCAAAACACTTGAGGGCTCGTCAATCTTCCAAGCCCCACGATAAAACAAGCTCGACCACTGTTTCGACCGCCAAAAAGCAGTCTGCCCGTCTGCCTTCCAGGGGTTCAGCCAAAACAACACAAACGCACCGGGCCAACGAAAGAGTGCTTCATTGATCAAGAGTATAAGGTCCGGTAAACATGGGATGGCTGTTGGGGAGACCACCAAAAAGATACCACATGGGAAGAGTTACCCGCGGTCACTTTGGGCATTCATCACCCCATATGCGGAGTCTGCCTTGGAATCACCTCACCCACCCCACCCACCCCACCCCACCCACCCCACCCACCCCACCCACCCCACCCCACCCACCACCCACCCCATCCCACCCACCCACCCCACCCCCCCCCCCACCCCCATGGTGTCTTCCCCCCTGCCTCGTACTGCTCCAAGTCCTTGAGCAGCTCTGACCACCTGACAAGGACGGGGTCTTGCAATGTGTTTTGGACCCTTCTCGTGTTCGAGTAAGAACAGACTCTAAGAATAGACCGCAAATTTGAAGTGTAACATTTTTTCTGCCGACGGCACTCGGGCACAATGTCATCAGGACACCTGAAACGGCTCCCTCAAGTGACCCGCATTCCATGGGGATGATCAAGGACCGAGTCCCCGCACAATCAAGCTGCAACATTGCGATGAAAGTGGAGCAGGCAGCCTGAGGGATGATACTAGCCTCACAGGGATGATCCTGAGGGGTACCAATCTGACACGGCCAAGCCTCACCATTCCCGTAGACAGTCATTACCCTCCACGGGCAAGCACATGTTCTTCGAGTTACTTGATGCAGCATTGGTTGTGGCTGACCTCAGTCAATTCACCCCGGCAACTCCAGATCGCAATATGTCCACCTCATCGTGTCTCAGGCAAACACAAACTTCAGGGCCTTGCTTCTCTCTCTCTCTCTCTCTCTCTCTCTCTCTCTATCCTCTTTTTTACTAAGCTTCTGCTTCTTCGGCAAAGCCCACAAATGCTTCGATTCGCCACCCCGCAGGTCCGCCGCGCGAGCCCGCCCCCGTGGCCACCCCCCCGTCTGCCTGCCCGGCGCCCGCGCGAAGTTGTGGGCGGAGCCCTGGCCGCCGCGGTTCCCGGTCCAGGAGAAGATCACCAGGCGCCTCAGAGAAGATCAGAGGCTAGGCTCCCTAAGGATTAAGGGTCAGGGGTGTCTTTTTGCCACCTTTTGTGAGAAAATTGCCGACCCCCTCCAAAAGGAATCCTTCACTACGAGGGGGGTCGATCATTTTTCCGCAAAAGGCGGCAAAAAGACCCCCCTGTTAAGGGTTGGGTTTAGGAGTGGCTAAGGGTTAGGGCTTAGGGTTTAGGGTTTCTTAACCGGATCAGTGTTGTTGGACAACCTTCCAGGCACACCCAAAGGCTACCAGGCATTTTGTGTATGAATGTTTTCTGAGGAACCCGTTAATCATTGCTTTCAACGAGAAGCCAACATGAAGTTCATCAGCCGGGCGACCGCCGGGTGTTCGAAGGCCCACAAACTTGGATCCAGGCGGGCGGAAAACCGAGGTTTCGGTTGGTGCCCTGGAACGGGGACTTCAGAGACTCGCCCATGGTTTTGCCAATCGGTGGAATCCCAGCGCGGGCAAACAGCAAGTCGCCAGGGTTTTCGCTTGTTGGATGTGGTGACTTTGCTTGAATTGAGGGAATCCACGGCACATCTACAATTTACGGTGCCAATCATTGCCTTCCCAAATGTCCGATGGGCGAGGATAGATCGCTGACTTCGGATTGCATGAATGTCATTTCCGCTTAAGCATGCAAAAGCGGAAGGGCTAACCTAACTGTTTGACACCAGCGAACTGGTCCAAGGGGGGCCGACCCCTTGTTGGGCACGTCGCGCGTTGACACGTTGACCATGGGAGCGGGCCCTAAAAAGGCAAAACGATGAAGTTTCTTCCGCACCCCGGTCTTGAAGGCCCCAAACATGAAACAGTGCCAAGGACAGCAACGACAACTCATCGCTCACATGTGGCTAAGTGTGGCTTAGGCCCTTTTAGGGCCCCATGTCATTCGACCGAAGACACAGGCTGCAGTGATCCGTCAGAAACACACCGGAACACTCCACTAGTTTCGACGCAAGGTGGCAGGGGCAACCCTGAGTCCATGTTGGAATGAACTTTCATTGGGGACCCTTTTGTTGACATCATTTACCATTCGCATTCACACTCAAATATGGGTGTGCCTTTGGGGGAACCTCCCTTCGGGTTTTAACGCTGAAACCTCCAGAACTTTGAGACGGCAGACCACTTGGTGCCCGAGCCCCGACAACCGAAGCAACTTGCGGCCCAAGCCGCCCTTTGGCGCCGGGGTTGGCTTTGCCTCGAGAGTGGTCATAGGTGTCCCTTTGGAGCTTCGGTTTTGGGTAACCTGGTAGTTTGCTTGGCGTTCTTTTCTTGGAAACCGAAAGTGAAACCACCATGTTTTGGGGAGTCACATCTAAAACAAGAACAACAAGATGGCAGCCAATCACATGATCAAGTTGCAGCTTTGAGACCCATGTCCTTCACGTTGCCCTGGCCGAATGAATTCCTTTGCCCAGCCTCACAAGTTACACTAACAAACCCGTCAGGGTGACACAGGTCCTTTGAGGCCAGTTTGCCAAACTTAATCAGGTGCACAAGATGCGATTTTGGGAACAAGAGCTGGGATAGAGAGCCTCCAAACAGGTTGGCTGGGAACCCTTGCTTTCCTGCTAATTCTCTGCAGGGCTGGTTGGCCAGGCTGCATCACTGGCCTTGCTGCAATTGAGAGTTGCTCGGTGCTGGTTTCGGGTGAGTGTTGGGCTTGCTGAGATCTTAATGACGGCTGGTCTTTTTTTTGGGGGTTCGTGTTAGGCTCGACAAAGCTATCCAGGGTGCTGCTGTGTGGGTTTAAGGTGGAGCTTGGGTTGGCTTGGGGCTGGGTTGGAATGTGGTTGCGTCAGTTTTGGGCTAGTTTTGGTGCCGAGCACAATTCAGCCCCAGGCCAACCCAAACCAACCCCAACCCAACTAACAGCATCTTGGATATCAGCCCTTTGCCAAGCCTAAATGAAGCCCAAAGCCTGCCCTCATTAAGATCTCTGAAAGCCCAACACAGCCCCACTGCCACCAAATCAAAGCCAATAAGCAGCCCGAGGTCCGAGAAAGGCCAGTGATGCTGGGGATGCGACCAACTAACCAACCACCACCACAGCAACCGGGAACCGGCGATGCTGCAAATGTAGCCAATGCAGCCAACCAGCCAGTCACCCGACCGGGATGAAGCCAAAAAAAAGGTTCCGGATTAGGGGGAACGCCAAACAGCAAGGCAGAAATAAAATTCAAGCTCTCTACTGGAGGACCTAGAGATTAAGGAGCTAGGGTTGGGCCCGGGTTTTCGTCTTTCCTTCCATTTATCAAGGTGCCATTGTGGGAATCCCGGTTTTTGAGCCACAGCCATATGACTTTGTATGTTGATTCGAAGCCAAAGAGGAATGGGGGTGCATTTATATATATATATATATTTGATTTGGTGTCTCAGGAACCTGGAAGGAATGGATTCAGTTTTTGACGCCCAGGCTTGCAGATTTATTGGGTGTGCTATGGTTCCGCCAACGTGGTAATGCTGACCCTCGTGTCAAAGGCCAGAGAGTAGGTGGAACACGGGGCGACCAGCGGGTTTTGGTCCCCTTTTCTTTGCTTTGGCTTTCCAAGCGTTTCCCTGCAGCCCTACCCCAACGGCTAAGAGCACCGAGGCCTATCAAGGTTCCCTCATGTTGGCTAGACAGTTCCTACTATGGGCGAATCATAGGTCGCTGCTCACAAAGGAAGTTGGTTTGCAATTTCACCCGTGAAGGTTCCTTACTTTGAGATTTCAAAGGCTTGAAAGGTCTCCCCCCCAATCCTTTCAGGGGCCAGTTTGCCTCTTCTTAACCCTGCCGTGCATCTGCAGAACTCTCGGAAGTCGACCTCTCTGTTGTGTTGGCACTGACCTTCGTTGGGTTCTGAAGGTGAGCATGCCCCTTGTGAGGGCAAGCTGGTTCCTGTGGATTGGCATGGAGCCGGTCAAGCGTGACACCTAAAATCCCTCCGACGTTTCACAATGGCGCTTCAAATGGAGAAGGGGCACCTAAACCCAATATATAACCCTTTTAACCCAACAACGAATTCCAAATTTGATTCGTGCCTTCGTTAGTAGCCCAAAAGCAAAACGCGTGGTCCGCGCATGGGAGTTTTCCAGAGCGCTCGGAACCAATTTTCATTGGGTGGTTGCGTTTAGAACAAGGGTAGCCTTTTTCTGTAGTCCATTTTAGTAGAGGAACCCTCCCAACCAAAAAAGCTGGTCAAAGGGCACTACTGAGGGAATTAGAAACCTGAGCCACGCCGATACGCCGATGCCATCTCGCGTCTTGGGAGTCAAGGCGCCCAGCATCTTCAGCCAGGGCGTCTTCCCAGTCGCCGCCGTGCCACCCTGGGAGAAGAAAGGACGGTGCAAAGGGAACATGCGTTACCCTCAAAAAATGGTGAGCGGGAATCAAATCCCCATACATCGATGTCTTAGGGGGAAGGAAATTCAAATTCAGAGTTTGCGTCTTTTCTCCCCGCCGGTGGTTTTCCTTTGGCCCTTAAAGACCACAAACAAAAGTCTCAACAAAAAGACACGACCATGTCTAGCGATCCCCCCACACCAAGTGAACGAAAGAAACGACGGAGGCTCCGACGCCCAAACTCGAGTACTCGCGACTTCGCCTTGATCACCGGCGCATCGAGCTGCTCGAAGTCCGGAACCGCCACCTTGCCAAGGCTGCCGATGTATTCGGCCATGGGTCAAAGTCCAAATCGAAGCCCCAGTGAACATCCGATTCAATCCCCGCTAAAATAGTTTCTAAAATGGGTGGTACACCTACCCCAAAATGGAACCACTGGTCTTGACCCACAGCCATTTAGGCGCGGCGCAGAAAAAACAACAAAACGGCGAGATGGCCAGGTTTTGCCCTTGCCGCCAGGATTTGGGCTGCACCGCGGCCAAATGCATGTCCAAATGTTGTATGATTGCAACACGCCAGAACATTGTGGAAACAAACAATCTGAACGCTGGCGCGTCCCTTCCGCATCCATGTGAAGAAATTCTACTTCACCGATCCCAAAAAGGGGATTCCTAGTATATGCAGGACACTCCCGCATGCTTGAGAGTGCAACATCTGGCAAACCTCATTCACCGGTCAGTGAGATGATTGAACTTGCCCCCTGGATTCCATTCAGGATGGAATACCCAGGCCGAACATCCCAATGCTTTGCCTGACCAATCCCTGCTCCCACCAAACCACGGTTTGCTGTTTTTTTATCCGTCTGGTTGGAGAAAAAACAGGTGCTGAGAGTGTAGGAAAACCAGTGATGTGTCAAAAAAAAAACTCACTCAAACGCGAAAAGCGATAAGTTGCTCAAGCAAGTTGTTAACTAATTAAGAGCTCACTCCAAAAAGCTGCCCGCTTCTATTCAGAAGGTGGTTGAAAGGAATGCGGATAACATGAGTACATGCCTGCACACAAGCTACGGTTGGCTGCTGCGACCCTGTGAACTCACATGGTTCATGCCAGGAATCGCTCATTTGTGAGGATAGCACAATACTACATATTGTTGATTGGGGTTGGTAGCTTGTCGCCTTCAACACTGTCAGAACTCGAGCAACGCCCTGCAACTTCCTGCAGCTTTGAACCCCTCTTCGGCATCTCGCAAAACAATTATGCGCAACTCTGGCAACTCTCCATGGGATCCAATGGCCGCGTACCAGCAGCTATCTGAGTCTGAAAAGGGTGACATCTACCGCTGGCCATGGGGCATCAGTTGCGCAAAAGCTAGGACCAACCCCCCACTCCCCAAGCCGATTCTGGCGCTGTCAAAGGCGGTTTCCTCATACACGATTGATGCCCTGGTCCAAACCCAAGCTTCATTAGCCCCACTTGCGTCAAGCTGCAATTGGGCTGGCATCTTCCGGTTTTTGAACCAAACCTGCCGCTTCTCCGGTCTCTCACGCCCTCCAAACCTCCGGGGACGTTGGCGCGGAGGTTGCTGTGCCGTCGGCACGCTTCAACAGCTCCTTCCCGCTGATCTTGGTGCTGACCTGGGAGACATTCGGCCTACTTCACGTCGCACTTTGGAGTTCTCAGAAAAAAAAAGATGGACTCCGTTTCCCATTCAACCACCATGAGGTATTTTTGAGGATGTCACTTGACTGGACCCATGTCGCTCGAGACGAGTGGACATGCGGACATGCAAACTGGTTTTTGGGCTCCGAGTGGACCCTGAGGTATGTGAGGTAACACATCGTTGCATAAGCATCTGTTTATCTGTGTGGGTTTTTTCCCTGCCCCCAGGATTCCGTTTTGGTGGAATCCTATGCGCCGACGATCCCTTTTAAGCGGCCTAAACACAGGGGGTTGGTTCATGTGCCATGTGCCCGAAGAGCTGCAAGCAAGTCCAGGAGTATCTTGCGATGGTGAATCCCTGCGCCACTTGAAGTGATCACTTAAACTTAAACTTGGAACAAAAGCCTGTTCACACTTGCTTCCAGCCCTGCCATCTGTCCTGCACCGTTGCGGATTGCAGATTTCCGGGGATCTGAGTTTAGCCCTTCTGCAAAACCTTGAGCATGCCCTGCACAAACCTCGGGCTCCAAACCAAACTGTTGCCTTTCCATCCACAACAATGCCATCTTCCGGAAACCATATTGTACAAGTCCCGTTTCTGAAATTCAGCTATCCTTCCAAGCGGAAAAACTGCGCGTGGCCTTTCCAAAACGTGAACCAAAAAACTGGGCCAGACTGATACCCTCGTGCAAGGGAAAACGGAGGATGTTTGGCCTTTCCCAAAAGGTGACATGAAAGCACGCCCGAAAGGGACAGCATCACCCCTGACTCTGCCCCAAAACTTCACCATGCTCAACTTTGCAAGTCAAAACTAGTTGCAAAAGTATGCGAAAGGTCGATTTTTGGGGAACTGCAACCAAAGCCCCAAAAGCCACCCCGAGCCACGAACCTCGAAACATCGGTCGGGTTTTTTGCCGCCCGGCCGCCCAGCCAGTCTTCGGGCCGGTGCCAGACACCAACTCATAGCCTGAGGTGGGGGCGGGTGAAGGAGCTGTTTGCTCGTTGAATGAGCGTCAATTTATAAACGGGAGTGTCTGTGGAGTTTTGAGCGGTCCAACTTTTGACTTCGCTGAAAATTGGCGCCGAAAGGAAACCCCGGGAAGCCAATTGGTCTGTTTGGAACGCTTCTCGAGCAACCCTAAGCCCAAAACCCCAGCTCGGGATTCAACATCCCTTTCCCGGACCTGGGAAAGTTGAGTGAGTCGGATCGTATCGATCGCACATCCTCCATGTCTCTCCCAAATGGACCATAGGCTGGACATGTTGACCAAACCTCCACCAACCCTTATCGCCCTTGGTTCGTGGCTCGTCTTTTAGGGATCGGGACCCCCCAAAATAACATGCATGGCGCAACGGTGTTTTTCTTTTCGTTTCCCTCAACCCCAAACAAAAATTGCGCGATATTTTGTCCAACAGCCCCGGAGTTTTCCCGAAGCCTGTGGATCCCCTCGGCAACCCTTCCTGAAAGCTGCCCCAAACCGCCCCAGAGATCTTTTTTGGGCAAAGACCCCGAAGAGCTTGCTGCTGTTGGAGAAAAAATAAGAATACTGAAATCAAGACTGAAATCAGTGAAATGCAAACTGGCAAACTGAAGTCAAAAGTGACATCACTTGGCCATGGGTCAAAGTCCAAATCGCACCCCCAGTGAACATCCCAATCCGCAGTAAAATAGGTTCTAAAATGGGTGGTGCACCTACCCCAAAATAGGATCCCATTGGGTTTTGACCCAAAGCCAGAATGGATTCTTTCCAGGCATCCTTCTTTTCAGGAAACCATCAAAAACCCAGGGGAAACAGCCGGTTCTTGAAAATCAGAAGTGAGATCACTCAAGACAAAAAAAGCTGAAATCAAAAGGTTGCGAGCGGCGCAGCCGGTCGCTGGCCAGCTGGAGCTCTTTCACCTTCGCCCCGGTGGAGAGCCGATCGTCGCAGGCCTGCGAAGGGGGCGTTATGCCGCCTGCTCAATTGGGAGGACAAGGAAAAATGCGTGGAACATATATACATACATATATATATATAGATATAGATGTATACCTAGGAAATCTAAAAGGCAAAAATTTCTGCCTGAGATGGCAAAAGGCGCCTTTTGGCGTCCAGCGGCGATTGCTAGACTTTACAGACATTCTCTGGCGTTTCTTGATTGGCTCCGGCGTTTTTTGAACGATCAGCGCTTGCCCCTTTTTGGCTCCATCGCAGCCCTGGCCCGGCGATGGTGGCCTGATTGGCACGCCCTGCCCCTTCCTGCACACGCTTCTTGAACACTGGCAGTCCTTTCTTCAGAACTTGGCTCAAGAAAGAATAGACTCATGGCACTTTCAAATCCAAATGTGAGTGCGATGATGCAACATGCTGGTGGTCGCCTTATTTTCAGTCATTGATTGAATGATTGGACTCAGTTTTTGAATGCGCTGCCAAAATCATGCCTCAAGGTCTGGCTGAGCTTCCTGATCAATTTTTCCAGGAGGTACAGGGCGTTCTCTGGCCAAGTGAAAAGCCATCTGATGCTTGCCGGCACAGCCCACACCCTGCGAAATAGCTTTGCCCCAGTGTCCGAAAAGCGGGGTCTATTTGTGAAATCAGGGGTGATTAGAAACCAATCCAGTGCTTGCCCCCGAGAACAGATCGGAGTTGCCCGGCTGAGGAGACGCTGAGCGAAGAGCAAGCGAAAACAATTCTGGCGAACTTTGAGGCCAAGGGCGCTGTTTATGAGCTGGCCAGTTTTCTGAACAAATGGCAGAAAGATAGCCCAATGCTTAGATCGATGCCAAAAGGCTCAGCCACAACACTATGCTAAAGGCCGTTGCTCACCCCTGCCGCTCAACTCCTAGGTCAGCTCCCGGACGACAAGGTCTCACAAGCGCGCGATGAGCCTGCAGGGCACTGATCGACTGGCAGAGTGGCAGTGTTTCAAAAGTACGTCCTCCCAGTGCTTAGAACATTGCATGGGGCAAACCGCCTAGTTTTTTCCAATCGCGAGTGTACCCACGCAGGTGCTTCTCAGAAGCAATGGCGGGCTGTCTTTGGCGCTGGGACGAACGCATGGAAGTCGGGCACTTGGCTTGCTCTGATGGGGAGTTTGGGTTTCTCATTAATTTAGCTTGCTCAGGTGCGATGGTGCTGGCCTGCCCGTTCAGCCTGCCAGGCCAGCGCTTGCCGTCAGCGCGTCAGTTCTGCGTTTTCTTCAGTTTTGGCCCAGGCAGTTGGTGGACATTAGCTTCGCTGCTGTCTTGAGGCCTGCCGTTTCTCTGACGGCTGATTGAGGGCCAGCCTTTTGTTGCAGGCTTGGGTGGGTCTGCTCCTCCTTGGCGCTTATCTCAGGTCGGCGCATGTGTTGGCGCGATTGCAAGCTTGCAGGTTGGGGGTCGGTGTCAGCGATTTCTGGCTACAAGTGGTTTGTTGCTCGGTCGCGCGCCTCACGTGCCATGGCCTACAAGCTTCGAGCCCTGTCTGACAGGGATCCGCTGGACGGGTTGGCCGAAAACCTTGAAGCAAGTAGTTCTGTGCGGCGTCTAGTTGTCAAGACTGGCAGCTTGTTGCGCTGGACCAGCCCCGAACTGACAGGGATCATGTCCTTAGACCAACTTGCCCTGAACCTCGATGTCATGGAAGTGATCGTATCCCACTGGTGCTCTTCCTTGAGCAAGCCAAAAACCCTACCAGTGGACAGCATCAAGCGCGAGGCTGGTGTGCCAAGCAATCCCACCCGCAAAACACAAGCTTAAAATCAATGTGCCAATGTCAAGCCGGCCGCGCCTTCTTGCGCAGGTGCGAAAGCTGCGGGTGATCATGAGGCTCTCAACCAAGCCTAGCCTCGTACATTGCGATTCGCACGCTTTGAAGGGGCTACTCAGTTTACTCATTCGGCGCAATGACGGCAGCGTCCGGAAAGATGCTTGTTTAAAACAGGGTAAGTCGAGCTGATTACCTTGTAAAGGACATTGCGACAAAGTGTGTCAGTTTTGCTGCTGAGGACCCCAACTTGCAGGAGCTGTTCAACAAGCTTGCCAGCTTCTGGCCGCCCAAGAATCAAAAGGATTCTGAGGAGGATTTGGGATCAGCCCTTGAGCCCCCTGAGGATCACACCACAGAAGAAACAGCTCTTGATGATGGCTATGACGAGGGTGTAGTTACTCCCGAAACTGCAAAACCTGACGAGGAACTGGCTTGGACCTTGGGGGGGCAGCTCAAGAAAACCGAATGCCTTGGCTCGCCTTTCGCTATGCCCCCGCACGCAGCCGAGAAGCAAGAGCCGGAGGAACCTGACATTGATGCCCAAATTCGGGAACTGGAGCAGCTCCCCAGCAACTAATTTTCACCCTACAAAGGACAAACCATTGAGTTTTGTTTTGAGGGGCTCCTTTCTTCCAACCCGCCGGCAAGGCAAGCCATGGCAGAAAAGCGATTGGCGTTTGCCGCTCGGGCGGTGCCAGTTTCCTGGAAAAGCCGGCGCCTAAATCGATCCTCTCGCTTGACCTAGCTACGCAAACTTCCCATACCAAGGCTCAACACAGGATGACTCGAATGCTGAAACCCTGCCCTTTGACGCGACCGAAGTTGCAAGCTTCATTACAGGCAGGCGTCAGAGCGCTATACCGTTTGCTCGTTGACCATTCCTGACTTTCTGAACGAATTCGTTGGATTCGTTTCCACATGTTTCCTGCCATTGGTCCCAAAACCGCTCCCGACCCTTGGCGCGGTCACCTGTAGTTTCGCCAGGATCCACGAACCCTGTGGACAAGAACGGCAGCTTCAATGGGTTTGCAGAAGATCGCCCAACGCCCGCTGCCCAGGCAGAAACCCGCAAGCCTGCAGAACCGGGGGCTCCCCTGAAGCCTGTCGACGGGGTGATGTGTAGCCCTACCACTTCCAAGTTGATGAAGGATGAAGTTGTGGAGGCATTGGTTGGGTTCAAGTGTCTTGAATAATGGGGATAGCAGGGTTCACGTGAAACTAACCCTGGGGAGGCCTACGCGGACCGAGAGGAGCAGATGAAGTTTAAGAATTCCCTCAAGCGCAAAAAGCAAAAAGACACCGATGATGAGTGCGAGGACAACGAACATGGGAAGGATGTTGACCGCGAAATGCTCAAGCCGGCAAAGGGGAGAAAACCCAAAGCCAAGTCTCAGCCCAAATCAAGCAGCCAACGCAAGCCGGCAGCCAAAGCAAAGGCAAAAGGAAAGGGGAGTGCGAAAGCCATGAAGAAACCAGCCGCGGCCAAAGTAGCGAATCCGGAGCCAACAACCCCATCCCCGCAGGCTAAAAGGCAGGAGCCTGAGACAACGCCAGCCAATCCTACCAGGAACACATTTGCCAGGCGATACCAGCCCAAGAACCGCGACAGTGCACGCTGGTGGCTCGCTGTGGCAAGTGCGTTTGACGCTTTGGTCAAGGGCAAGGTTCAATCTCCGAGCTTGATGGAGGACTGGCTTACGCCGCACCGTTGACCGTACCTTCCACCGGGCAGTGACCACTGACACCTCACTAGTTTTCCCAAAAACTCCTATGTCCCAGGTAGCCTGGTAGCCATCCCACTGTTGACTGCAGCTGCTGGTTTCCTAACATTTGGAACAGGCCAGTATGTCGGGCACCGCTGCTTCTGCCCAGGACCAATTCTGGAGGTTCTGCTCGCAACGGCGGGGTCAGATTGAGGGCAGCGATGAATCAAAGACAATGGAGTCTGCAAAGCTGTTTTTGGCAGAGGCATCTGTCGTAAGCATCTCTGCGCCAATTAAACCGCTGTTTGCCCTCCGTCCTCCCAGCCAAACTCATCGCTCCCGCCTAGGCAAGTTGCTGAGTCACTGAGCGCCACTGAGCAGCTCGTAGCGCAAGCAGAAGCCTGCCAGAGCTGTGGGCCGGGTGTGACTGGTACTGACACACTTCAAGGCTGTGTCGCGATGTTGCTTTCGTGCCATGGGTTGCGGGGCTTCTCCAACAGATATATTCTATTTTATTCTAAAGTGCGATGGCAAGTTTCCAGTTTGACGCTTGTCCAGCAAACCAAACTCATCGGCGGCCCCTTTTGTTGGCACCCTCACTGATTGTCAGTTCGATGCTGCTTCTTGTAGCAAGTCCAGCAAGTGGAGCGGCTGCAACCCATGCTCGATTCGTGGCTTGCATTAGAACCTGCCCGGAAGGATTTCCAAGGGCTGGCACATGCACCATGTGGGGGAAAATTGCCGGACATGAGGGAACGATTGCAACTTGCGCACCTCCTCCGCTTTGCTAGACCCCTATCCCCGCCTCGCTCGCCCAAAGGTGATGATTGTGTCCTGCGATGCCTCGCACTCTCAGCGCGTTCGCTCTGCGTGGGCACGGGTCAGGTGGGTCCGTCCTGTTTGGCGGTGCCGTGCACTGTTGCGCAAGCCGATGCAACACGCAAAATGCAGGCGTTTTCAGTTTCAGAGTTAGCTGAGTTGGTCCTTTTCCAGCCGCCTTCTTTGCAATGACGCCTGAGCAAAAGGAGCTCACCACACGCCGTCTAATTAGATTGGGCGCGCCCAAGGCCTGGGTTGAGCGCCTCAAACTGTTGCTGTGCCTTGCCAAAGCCTGCCAGCTCCCCTGAAGGTGTTTGTGATGTTGGTGTGCCTCATATCTTGGCTCTCCATTGACGTCCAAGGGCCGCCAGCAGAAGTGCTTGAGTTGTTTGCTGGCTGTGCCAGACTCACTCGTTTGTCTAGGTCTGTCGGCATTCCCTCGCAAGCCCATGACATCCTGTTTGACGTTGACGGGCCCCGCAAGAATGGGAAGAGCTGCATGGATGTCAACCTTTCGGCTGGGTATGTGTGGCTTGGACTTCTTGTGTGTGTGTGTGTGAGTAGTTTTGCTGTCACCGAGATCCTTCATCAGCCCGAACAAAGCTAAGGCTCATGATTTGGTCTCTTCTTTCTGCGGCATTTGGAAATACTATTTGCTTGATGGGGATCCCATGCAGCAC